GTTTCATCCATTTTTGGTAGGAAATACCTTTTAATTGTGTTATTAATTAGCATTGAGAAAGTTTGCGCAAGAATCTTATGGATTGATAACAGATAATAGAGCCAAAAGTTGGGTACCTTATCATTTACTGGGGATTTCCATTTTGGGGATTTTGTTAGAGCTTGCCTAATATTATTATTATTATTCTTGGTTATATTTTTCAATTCTTGCACAAGTTAATCCTTCATTCTTCCATACTTTCGTTTGATCCACTTTGCATTGGGGTTATATTCATATAGGTTGTTCCAAATATTCTGTCAAAATGTTTTTACTTCTTCAATAAATGATGTTGTTTTTACTTCTATAACTACTTTTTCAATTTCTGTCTAAAACTTCATGAGGTCCGTTTGAAATATCTCATTTTGTCGACAGAACCTACAACGCTTTTCATATCGTCTTCTTCTATGTGCCTTTAATTATGGTTTTTGTTTAAGTATTTCCATGATTTGTGGAATTTCATTTGCTTGATTTCCTTGCTGTTCTGTGTTGAAACATTTGAATTTCTTGAAATCTCATCTAGTATCGATAACTCAAATCTGATTTCTTCAATTTATCGCTTTAAATTTGCCTTCTGGTTGAACACTTTTTGTCTGTTGTTTATTCTTTTAATCAAGTTCTGATTTAACCATTACCTAAAATGAAATTCATTATTTTAGTGTCTACATTATTAGCCCAAATTAGTACCCTCCACATCTTTCCCTTCGTGTCTGGTTGACTATTTTCACAAAAGAAATTCCCATCCCCTATCCCAGCCATCAGGACCATCCATATTTGATTCTATATTCATCACTAAAAATTCTGCTGTTTATTTAAAAGTGATCATCTTGCATGTTTTAATTTTATTAAAGCTTTAATAAAATAATGTTAGATTGATAAACGTTTCCTATTTGTTCTTTGGCCTGACATTCTTTCCATATACATTCCTTTGTTTGATTATATATATTTTTATAAGTTATAATGTTCATTATGTTTAAATGAAAATGTCCATGAAGATGGTCTTTAATAGACCGAAACGTCTGACGTCGACTTTATTTTAACATTAATACTACATAAATTCAGATTTTTTTTTTTCTGTATTTTCTTTCATACTGTCGTATTTTTATTTTTTCAAAGATTTATACCCATATTCATCATTTGCTTGAGATACATCAAAAATTACTGGAAATACAAACCTGAATTTATTTATACTTTATAACGTGGAAGATTTCAAGCTTGGATTTTTTAATAGATCAAGTAAGAATGGATTTATCGAACTGTTTTTTAGAACTGTTCCATCGTTTTGAAATCATTTTTGATTTGCCTTTATGAAACGGGAAGAAATTCAAGACAGTTGAAGATATAAGAACCAATTGATCAAACCCAGTATTCCGACATCATCGGAAGAGATTTCTATTTTAATTTTGATTTCAACAAAACTTCACTTTTTTTTTTTGGCAGGTAGTGTTTCTTATTGTCTTATGTATTTTACATTCAGAATGCTTTAAAAATTCCATTTACAAGACAAGTGTTTATAATAAAATTCTATTCAATCGGTAGACTCATAACGATTGAAAACAAAGCATTTTTTTTTGTTTGAGTTTGGGTTTGAAAAAAATAAAAAAAAAATTAAGATATGCGTGTCCGTCAACCTTAAACAATAATCTTTGTCAATTTTATTTTTCAGTCTTTATGATGGTCGATACTTGATCTATTTCTTACTGTTACATCCCCAGGCAATGCCGGGCTCTACTGCTAGTCACTTATAAATTTATTAACTTATTAATTTATCCCTTCCCACAATGCATGGGACAGGAAATATATTAATAAATACACATTGATAATTATTATGTGATTTGATTTCAGTAAATGGAAGAAAGAAACTGACATCAAACTTTGAATATAGATGCCTTTCTCTTGAGAAAGTTTGTCAATTATTAACCTTTTTGTTTCCATCCTTGTCTTTTTTAGACTCCATGTTTTTGGGCCTTCACGTCTGGAGAGCCTGAAAATACTGATTATGGTAAGTAAGCCTTTCTTATTTTTTCATTTTTTTTTTTAAATTTTTGTAAGGCTAAATTTTGTCTGTGTCTTACATCAGTAGAATAAGACAATCAGCATCATTAACACATAAACAATTATATTACTACCAGCTTTTTTATATACGGACAAGTTCCATTTGCAACATAAGTTTATCTCTTCTATTCACACCATGGCAGAACTCTTGTTAAATGGTTAGAAACTGCATCTGAATTGATTTATCATCTTTTCTATTAGGGTGTTTAGAAAATAATAACATATTTCCAAACTATGAATAATAAACGTTTGGTACGAAACAGTATCTTTAATGAATTTATTCTCTTTCTGTCAAATGGTGTGTTGCTTTCAGTGCATTTCAGAGTTTTGAAGCATTATAACTTTAAAAGACAACATTTTTACCATTGCAAGAGAAGACATTTTTATCGTAGATGTCATTCACCAATGAATCAATTTCAAATCTAAATTGTTTGTCCAGTTAAAATATTAAATTCATTAGAAAATATTAAGTAGTCTGTTTCTTCTTGCTTGGAATAAATTTCCCTAATTCTGTTGGATATCACTTGGGGAAAGACCTTTGTCCTTACTTCTGATACATCAGTGCATGAGCAGAAATTGAAATGGGTGATAGCATAAACAGGAAATGCATCCAGTGGCTAAAATAAACAGGGTGCACAGGTGTCCCAATTGTAAAATACATGCTTGCATGGGTGCATGCTAGAAGAAAATGAAGTTGCGTGGGCACATGGCAGAAGAGGCGTGTCCACAAGAACTTGTGTAAGTGACAAATTAGAAGAAAAGTGTAACCATGTGAAGTTGTGTGGGTGTCCAAATGTTATAAAAACTGGTTCGATTCTTGATCTGACAGTCAAGAATCGAACCATATCAAAAAAATTGTCTGGCATGACACAGTAAACCAACTTTCCTTGCAGTAGACCTAGCAACTGATTAAATTGTTCAAAATGTGTTAAGCAGTGTTGAGCCTAGTCAGTACTTAGATGGGTGACCACTTGGAAATACCAAATGCTGTAAATTTGGCTTGGAATTGTTTATCAGAGAGCTAAATTCTGATTTTAGTTGGGTTTGTTATATATACTTATGTGCAAATTCTTTTGGGCAAGGTATAAATCCACCTCTTTTTAACCAGATATGGGTTAATTAGTAAGACTTGTATCACTAAATCATTATTTTCCAAAAAAATTTCTTACAATCTAAAAAGTATTTTCTGGCTTTAAATAACATGCAATGGGTTGATAAGTTGTAAAAAATGAATCAATCAATGTTATGTATATGCAGGCAAACTCACATGCAGACAGTGTGTGACAGGTCAATTTTCATAATATAGATGTATGCATATTTTTTGGAGAAAACGTCTTCAAACTTAGGACTTCAGAGGACTAGAGTTTACAAAGTGTATGTTGGCTCCCCAACAGAAGAATTTGATATTCTCACTAAGAGTTGGTGCAAGAAGACACTTTCCTTTATGATACAGATTTAAGAAAAATAAAATTTGGGGGTCAAAAAATTAAATTTTATGATTTAGAAATAAAATTTTTCATGGGGTGCATGAATTTTACATGAAATTGATTTCTTTACAAGTGATGTTTGGAAATTCTCAACTTGACAAATACATGACCATATAACCAAAAGATCAGGATAATTTTGAATGTTGTTTCAGCCACCCTTTAATCACATTAAATAGTGCCTCATAAATGCAAATCTTTCTCTGACTCTCAAAACATTCATATCTGTTCAGCTTCAGATCCTGTTGAAGGACACATATTATTCTTTAATCAGATATTCTGGCCAGTAGATGAAAATAAATATACTCAAATAGGGGTATCTGCTAAAATAATATTTGAGTAAGAAAATATGTCATAGCAATAAAAAAAAAAATCCATCACTTCTTTAGAAATTGTTTTGTTTATATCAAGATACGAAACTGAACAGATACATAAATTTTGAGAGTCTGGGAAAGGTTTATGTTTAAAGGCACTATTCATATATTCTTGATCATCAATACACTTCATGGCTGAGAGGGTCTAAAACATGCTGAATCTAATGAAAAGTTTCTTCTGTTCAGGGGGACACAGGTTAAAAATCCTGCCAGAGAGTTGATGTTTTTCTTTAATAAAATTTGTTAAATATTTAGGCCAGTAGATGAAAATAAATTAATATACTGTATAATAAATAAATGGAACATCTACTCAAATATGAGTATCCACTAAAAATAATGTTTAAGTAATAAAATCTGTCAGATAAATAAATAAAAATCCATTACTTCTTTAGAAATTGCTTTGTTTATGTTAGGATACAAAACTGTGCAGATATAAATTTTACAAGAGTATGAGATAGATTTGCATTTATAAGACACCATCCAACTTTTGCTCAATCAACAATGCACTCACAAGTCAGTCTAAAGTATGTCGGATCTAATGAGAGATTTTCCTGCCACAGTGTGTATTTCACAAGATACCAAAATTAGTAGCAAATTGCTTTTATAAGTAATAGCAAGACCAATCCCTTTTTGTAGATGTCGGTTAAAAATAAAGGAGATTAGTAAATAACTTTTGTTTATCTGGCCAAAAGTTTTCAAACTTTTTGCATCTCTCTTGATTACATCATACTTATGATTAGAACTCAGTTTTTCTTGTGAATTATTTTAGATTTTGCATCATATAATAATTGAGGATATTAATTCCTGTTAAATGTGTAGGAAAATAACTTTCTCAAAAAATGTCTGCAAATCGAACTTACTTTAAAATGTGACTTATTCTGTAGATAACCTGGAATTTTCTGCTTTTTTAATTTTATTTTGTGGATTTCTTTCTTTCTTTTCAGCTGTATATTTATGTAAAAGAACGATGCAAAAATCACAACGATTGGAACTTGCTGATTATGAAGCGGAGAATTTTTGCAACAAAAGATGTTCTCCAGGAAATGGGAATTCATTTTTTATGCAAACAAGCAAAAAAGTTTTTTGGGTATGGGGGTGGGGACGAGAGAAAGACAGAGCAAAAAAAAGGAGAAGCAAAAGGAGGGAGAGAGAGAAATTGAAAAGGTAAAGTGAAAGAAGAGAAAAAGAGGACGAAAAAGATAGGTGGAAAAGAAAGAAGACAAGAGAGAGTAAGATAGAGAAGTAGAGATAAAGAAAAAGAAAAGAAAAAGAAGTTGGTTAAAGAAAGAGAGAAGGAGAGACAGAAAGAGAAGTAGATGGAAAGAGAAAAGAAAAAAAGATAGATAAAAAAAATAGTTGGGAGAAAGAAAAAAAGGAAAAAAAAGCAGACATAAAAAAAGAAAAAAAAAGAAAGAATAATGATGAAGGGAAATTGGAAATGTCCAAGAAAGAACAAGGAATAGAGATGAACAAAAGAGAAAGGCATAGAATAAGAAATAGAGAGGGAGAGGAAGAAACAGAATGAAAAGAGAAATTTAGAGAGATAGGGATAGATAGAAATAAAGGAAAGAAAGAGAAAAATTAGGACAGCAATAAGGAAAGATAGAGGGAGAAGAGAAAATTTTTGAGGTGATAGTAAAAGAATGAAAGAAAAATGGAAGGTAACCAAAGATGTAGTGAAATTTAGTGACAGAGAGAGTTGGAGTAAAGAAAATAAAAAGAAAAAAAGAACATTAAAAATGAGAAAAGAGACAGAGAAAGAAAAAAAGGAAAATAGAGGGTGAAAGAAAAAAAAAAAAGAGAAATAGAGTTGGAAACCAAAGGGATCTTCTTGAAAAGAACCTAAAATTTTAAAAAGATTAACTCCTTTTCATTGCTTGTCCCTACAATTGTGTTCAACACTATATCTGATAGATTCTCAAGTTTAAAATAATAACCATATTTTCTAGTACCCCATCTGTGTATCAAAAATTAGAAACATGAAAAACATTAAATGAACTTCCAAAAATCACATCTTAAAAACATGATGTTGTAGTGGATATAAGAATTGGTTAAATAAACAAAATAAATTCTTCAGAAAAAATAAAACAATTTAAATAACAGAAACCACATCACTTGAGGACTTTCAAAATAATAACTAAAATTATTCAAATGAGGAAAGATATTTCAAATGAAGCAACAACCAAAATATATCAACCTTGTGGACTGGTGCTAGTCAAACAAAGAAAATACCAAATAACATCCTCAATTGAGTTCTTGAATCCCTGTGTGTTATTTGATTCTTGTTGACTGGTGCTACAGAATCACAAACAAAGAACTGTACCAAATAACAGAAACCACATCACTTGAGGACTTTCAACAGCAGCAACAACTAAAATGGATAGCACATGTAAGTCAAAGAGAAAATAATGAAGCCTGAGTGTCTTGGCAAAGATCATCCTTCTTTGAACCTTGTGGACTGGTGCTACAGAATCACAAACAAAGAAATGTACCAAATAAAAGAAACCACATCACTTGAGGACTTTCAACAGCAGCAACAACTAAAAAAATGGATATCACATGTAACTCAAAGAGAAAATAATGAAGCCTGTGTGTCTTGGCAAAGATCATTCTTCTTTGAACCTTGTGGACTGGTGCTACAGAATCACAAACAAAGAACTGTACCAAATAACAGAAACCACATCACTTGAGGACTTTCAACAGCAGCAACAACTAAAATGGATATCACATGTAACTCAAAGAGAAAATAATGAAGCCTGAGTGTCTTGGCAAAGATCATCCTTCTTTGAACCTTGTGGACTGGTGCTACAGAATCACAAACAAAGAACTGTACCAAATAACAGAAACCACATCACTTGAGGACTTTCAACAGCAGCAACAACTAAAATGGATATCACATGTAACTCAAAGAGAAAAATAATGAAGCCTGAGTGTCTTGGCAAAGATCATCCTTCTTTGAACCTTGTGGACTGGTGCTACAGAATCACAAACAAAGAACTGTACCAAATAACAGAAACCACATCACTTGAGGACTTTCAACAGCAGCAACAACTAAAATGGATATCACATGTAAGTCAAAGAGAAAATAATGAAGCCTGAGTGTCTTGGCAAAGATCATCCTTCTTTGAACCTTGTGGACTGGTGCTACAGAATCACAAACAAAGAACTGTACCAAATAACAGAAACCACATCACTTGAGGACTTTCAACAGCAGCAACAACTAAAATGGATATCACATGTAACTCAAAGAGAAAATAATGAAGCCTGAGTGTCTTGGCAAAGATCATCCTTCTTTGAACCTTGTGGACTGATGCTACAGAATCACAAACAAAGAACTGTACCAAATAACAGAAACCACATCACTTGAGGACTTTCAACAGCAGCAACAACTAAAATGGATATCACATGTAACTCAAAGAGAAAATAATGAAGCCTGAGTGTCTTGGCAAAGATCATCCTTCTTTGAACCTTGTGGACTGGTGCTACAGAATCACAAACAAAGAACTGTACCAAATAACAGAAACCACATCACTTGAGGACTTTCAACAGCAGCAACAACTAAAATGGATATCACATGTAACTCAAAGAGAAAAATAATGAAGCCTGAGTGTCTTGGCAAAGATCATCCTTCTTTGAACCTTGTGGACTGGTGCTACAGAATCACAAACAAAGAACTGTACCAAATAACAGAAACCACATCACTTGAGGACTTTCAACAGCAGCAACAACTAAAATGGATATCACATGTAAGTCAAAGAGAAAATAATGAAGCCTGAGTGTCTTGGCAAAGATCATCCTTCTTTGAACCTTGGAACTGGTGCTACAGAATCACAAAATAAGAACTGTACCAAATAACAGAAACCACATCAAAATTGAGGACTTTCAACAAATCAGCAACAACTAAATGGATCTAAATCATGGATATATTTCACTATCATTAGTATGAAGAGAAAAATAATGAAGCCTGAGTGTCTTGGCAAAGATCATCCTTTTTCTTTGAACCTTGATTTGGACACATGATAATCTTTGCTTTAGAACCAATCTTGTACAAAAATTGTTTTAGAATCAAAAACATCAACACTTTCAACAGCAGCAGAAATAAAATGGAAACCACAAAGAGAAAATAATGAAGCCTGAGTGTCTTTTTCCAGAAAGATCATCATTGATATTTTAATGTGGACTGCTGCTAAAATATCACATTTTTGAAAGAACTGTAAGAGAAAATAACAGAAAAATATTGTTAATTCATCACTTTAGGACTTGTACCATAGCAAAAATAATCTAAAATCAAGATATAACATGAAAGTCAAAATTATTTTTGTCTAATGAAGCCACATTTTTTCTAAACAAAAAATCGAATTTTTTCTTTGAACATACCAACTGGTTTTCAAACCAAAATGGTAACAAAAGAACTTTAATAAACAATTTCATGCAACAGCACTTTCAACAGCAGCAACAACTAAAATGGATATCACATTAGTAACTCAAATTTTTAAATAATGAAGCCTGAGTGTCTTGGCAAAGATCATCCTTCTTTGAACCTTGTGGACTGCTGCTACAGAATCACAAACAAAGAACTGTACCAAATAACAGAAACCACATCACTTGAGGACTTTTTAACAGCAGAACAACTAAAATGGATATCACATGTAAATCAAAGAGAAAATAATGAAGCCTGAGTGTCTTGGCAAAGATCATCCTTCTTTGAACCTTGTGGACTGCTGCTACAGAATCACAAACAAAATTGACTGTACCAAATAACAGAAACCACATCACTTGAGGACTTTCAACAGCAGCAAACAACTAAAATGGATATCACATGTAACTCAAAGAGAAAAATAATGAAGCCTGAGTGTCTTGGCAAAGATCATCCTTCTTGAACCTTGTGGACTGCTGCTACAGAATCACAAACAAAGAACTGTACCAAATAACAGAAACCACATCACTTGAGGACTTTCAACAGCAGCAACAACTAAAAATGGATATCACATGTAACTCAAAGAGAAAATAATGAAGCCTGAGTGTCTTAAAAGATCATCCTTCTTTGAACCTTGTGGACTGGTGCTACAGAATCAAAACAAAGAACTGTACCAAATAACAGAAACCACATCACTTGAAATTATATAATTCAAATAAGCAACAACTAAAATGGATATCACATGTAACAAAAGAGAAAATAAATGAAAAACCTGAGTGTCTTGGCAAAGATCATCCTTCTTTGAACCTTGTGGAATGCTGCTACAGAATCACAAACAAAGAACTGTACCAAATAACAGAAACCACATCACTTTGAGGAAAAATTTTATGCAGTAACAACTAAAATGGATATCACATGTAACTCAAAGAGAAAAATAATGAAGCCTGAGTGTCTTGGCAAAGATCATCCTTCTTTTGAACCTTGTGGACTTATACAGAATCACAAACAAAGAACTGTACCAAATAACAGAAACCACATCACTTGAGGAATCACAAAGCAAAACTAAAATGGATATCCAAACTAAAGAGAAAATAATGAAGCATCAAAGATTTGGCAAATTATCATCCTTTTTGAACCTAAAAGATTTTTTGCAAAATCAAAAGATTTTTAAATGTACCAAATAACAGAAACCACATCACTTGAGGAAGTTTCAAAGAGAAAATAAATGGATATCAAATGTAATATTCCTAAAATGGATATCTTGCAATTCATCCTTCTTTTTTGAAAATGTTGAAAGTTGGTACAGAATCTTTTTGCCACAAAGAACTGTAAATTTTTTGAAAATGTCACATTTTTCCTTTTGATGAGCAGGTACTTAAAACATATCACAAAAAAGAAAAATTCATTTTCTACAAAAACAGAAAAAAAATAATTGAGGACATGTTTCAAATAGTCTTTTGGAATTTCTAAAATGGATATCAATGGAAGGCATTAAATAAATCAAAGAGAAAAAAATGTCTTAAAAGAATCATGTTGTGTTCATTTGAAAAAGAATCCTTCTTTGAACCTTGTGGAATTGCTACAGAATCACAAACAAAGAACTGTACCAAATAACAGAAACCACATCACTTGAGGACTTTTGAAAAACAGCACCAACAAAAATGGATATCACGTGTAACTCAAAGAGAAAATAATAACAAGCCTGAGTGTCTTGGCAAAGATCATCCTTCTTTGAACCTTGTGGACTGGTGCTACAGAATCACAAACAAAGAACTGTACCAAATAACAGAAACCACATCACTTGAGGACTTTCAACAGCAGCAACAACTAAAATGGATATCACATGTAACTCAAAGAGAAAATAATGAAGCCTGAGTGTCTATTTGAAGATCATCCTTTTTTTTGAACCTTGTGGACTGGTGCTACAGAATCACAAACAAAGAACTGTACCAAATAACAGAAACCACATCACTTGAGGACTTTCAACAGCAGCAACAACTAAAATGGATATCACATGTAACTCAAAGAGAAAATAATGAAGCCTGAAAACAATTTTGGCAAAGATCATCCTTCTTTCAACCTTTGTGGACTGGTGCTACAGAATCACAAACAAAGAACTGTACCAAATAACAGAAACCACATCACTTGAGGACTTTCAACAGCAGCAACAACTAAAATGGATATCACATGTAACAGAAAGAGAAAATAATGAATAAAACAGAAATTGTCTTGAGGTTTCAAGATCATCCTTCTTTGAACCTTTTGGACTGGTGCTACAGAATCACAAACAAAGAACTGTACCAAATAACAGAAACCACATCACTTGAGGACTTTCAACAGCAGCAACAACTAAAATGGATATCACATGTAACTCAAAGAGAAAATAATGAAGCCTGAGTGTCTTGGCAAAGATCATCCTTCTTGA